TTCTTCGCAGTAAAATCCTCATTTTTGAATGAAAGCGGAGCCCCCATCCTCTCCCAACCCCTCCTTCCTCCTCCTCGCGCTCTGTAAACTACACCATACTACACCATTTTCTACTCATTTTCTACACAAATACTGTTTAAAGGAAGCAGGACCGGCGTAAGCCGTCGACCCGTCTTGTATCTCTGTAATTTGTAAGGCTGTAATTTGGTGTGTCGGTTGGTCGGCATGTCCGTATATCGGTATGCCGATATGCCTGTATTTCGGTCTGTCGGTTTGTCGGTTTGTCTGTATGTGCGTCTGTGAAATCTATGACTACGATGAAGGTATTGATATGGAGATCCCAGCTATATTCTACGGTTCCTCCGCATAGATGAAGCAGTCACTTGTTTAGTAGGTCAATGGAGTAGAGTGAGTAATGGGGTGTGAAGTGAGTAATGTGTAGAGGGTACTTTAAAAATGGGATTCTGATCTGTACTGGCATCGTGCTATGTACGCCCATACAAAAATCGGAGGTGATAGTGTATTAGGGACCTTGCGCTAGAGATAAGGAGGCTCATACCCCATTCTAGCTTTTTGCACGAGGTGGTCATCTTACCTGTACCCCAACCCTCCTCCCCTCCTGAGGCTCAAGCAAGAACTATATTCTTTCGCCTAAAAGCGACTGCCAGCACTCAAACGCTCGGTCTTGAATAAAAGCGATACCCCTACATCTTCTGACTAATTTGTAAAAGTAAGGAGTTAGGCCCAGCGTAAGACGGGGCGACGGTAGTGGATAAGACAGCGAAAAGGAGAAGGAGTAACCAGTGAAGAAAAGAGTGAACAACCATGAACAAGTATAAAAAGGAAAACAATACAACTCAATGGAACATATGATTGATCAAGAAAGTGACAGCTATGCTTGTTAAGTATTTTTGACCACTGCTTGTCCGAAGGATGCCAGAGAGCTTTTGACGCTACTGATTTCTACAGTTTGTAAGTAGGCGAGACCGTTTTCAAAGAAAATTAAACAGTCGAAATCCAGAAAGTTAATCGCAGATTTGCCTGTCAGCATTTTTTGTAACAGGCACATGTCAAAAAGCTTGCGCATAGATTGAAGTGAAGGCAAATTGGGGTATTTGTTCCTTAGCGATTAGGAATATAGGGAACCACTTTGCTGCATCAGACGGGTCTTATGGTTGTCGCCTTCTGAAGCTCCTTACCGCATCAATTGTATCACTTCCTATCGCCTTCATCAGTGTTCCCACTCTGCCGCCTGTAGCCTCTCTAACTTCAACCGATCGCGGTCCAGGGAAAGAGCTGTTATGAATTTCTGGTGAAACACACACAAACACATATAGTACATACAAAAACACAAGGCACAGCATATCTACATTGTTCCCATCTTGCCACCTCTATCCTTTCCGCATTCGAATGATATTGCCTCAGGTGAATAGCTGCTAGACACACATCAACAGACCAATTACACTGCAAGCTACATAAAGTCAATTTCTCTGATATTGTTCTCTTTTTCGCCTTTTTGTTTCCCTGCTTCCTTAACTCTTTGCACAATGGTCTTTTCCTTTTTATAATAAAAGCTAATTAATCTCTTTAGAATTACCGCCGTACCGAGTTGTTTTGTTTACCGTCTTGAGAAGATCTTCCATTACTTCAGACCAGTTTGGCTACGCACGCCAATGCGTGCACCACATGCCCACGCATACGCCTACGATTAAAAGTGTCAATCGGTTGCTCTTGATCTTGAAAATTATGAATCATTAAAGATATAACTGATAGGCAACCAATGAATTGAGCAGTACTCACTAATGTTCTCAAGTGATAATAACACCATATAAGATTTCGTTATCACTGGACCTTCTTCCCTCCACGGGTACATCATTAGTTGAGAATCACAAATTATTGGCGGTCGGATGAGCTTTGTCGTGAATGATATCAAAACATCAAGTAACCTTTTCCACTGAGTTACAAACCTTGCTGGGTAGCGGTCGTAATCTATATAATAGTCGTAATCATAAATACATCGTTAATACCATAGGAGTTGAATTCAATTGGTAAGTGCTCTTATCAGTCGCTATCAGCTGTTATCAGTTCCTATCATCGGTCGTCTACGATCTCGCCATACTCCACGTCACACGCCAAACTGTCATGGCACCACTATTAATGCCATTATTATAGTGGCTCTACGCTTTCCAGGATTCTCATTAGC